GTAATATAAGTGTTAAATCTAACATAAAAGTAACTATCAATATACATTGTTGCAAAAAAATTGTAATTTTAATTATCGAATATATACTTGTTTAATATGTACACGCGTTCACATATATTCAAATGTCTTGCGAGTAGGATAGCCATCTGTCCTCTTCTCTCTGAGGACCATTCTTTTTTTTTAAAACAAGGATTTTTCAAGGATTTTTTGATTTTCTAAATATTTATAGATCATTACATTTCGTAACTTTTTAAAATAAAAATCATAAAAAAGATATTTCTTCTAAAAGGTCATCAAAATTTTTATACATCCGGAATTGCAAAATTTGGAAATATCCGGAATTTTTGGCTCGTTAACTGTAGCTTTGAAAGTTTTTATATGGCAATTTTATTTGCGGAAGATACAAAGGAAGGAGGGGAATCATATCCGCGCGACGCGTACAAACGTGTACGCGATTTCACTGTTATCAGATAGACTGACTACTTTGAGTTATCACCAAACATCACACACGTCCTTCCTCGATAAGTTTGTTTTTTTTTTTTTTCTGATAGGGAAGAAATCCCCTTTCCCCTCTCGCGCATTCGCTCGTCGTTTGAAGCGATGCGGGAGGTGGAATGTTTCTCACCGTGAGAAGACGCGATGATTAGCGCGCGCGAGACAACAACAAGCGATACCGTCGCCGCGAGTTGCGGTCGGCGCAGTGCTGATCATCGGCATCGTCGCGGTGGTATCAGTGACGGTGGCGGCGGCGACGGCGTTGCTGGTGGAGGTGGAGGAGTCCCTCCGTTCACCACTCTCGTCATTTCCCTCTCTTTCCACCACGTGAGAATCCTTCCTTGAGGCGAGCCCGTCGGAGGAGATTGTGCCGTTGGCCGTGCAGCAATAGAGGGAGAGAACTCGAGCGGCGTCGCGCCGACCTCGGAGGGGTATTCGCGCTCGTTCCTCTGCGTATTTCTGCGAGTCCGCTGTGTGCCACGCTCATACGCATGCACATAGGGGACACGTGCAAATACACGCGTCGATACGGCGCGCGCGCGCGCGCGCGCGCGCGTGTGTGTGTGTGTGTGTGTGTGTGTGTGTGTGTAGCATGCATACTACTATGCGTTTCTAGTGGTGGAGGAGCTTAGCCGCTGACCGCTGGTGTAGTACACCGAGCATTCCAGTAGTATATAAGGGCGACTCTTCCGCACTGATCATGCAGAAGGCGTAGGGGCATCTCGGTTCACAACACTGCTCGTATAATTTTGCCTTTGGTGCCTTTGTCAGGTGACGATCTTATGCCGCTTTCGTAAATTTACTTTCGGCCGCCGAAAGCGGCCTGGTGTCCGCGCGCGGACTCGCTCGTGCCACATGCTCACTGAATCTGACAACTTTCATTTCGGACAATCCTCCACTTTGAAGGGTGCTAATAAGAAAAGGACATCGAGGAAAGGACGCTCCGCGAAATTATTGAATGATAAGTCGCTTCGCATCGAGCACACATTTCATTTAGGTAACACGCTACTGTTACACAATAGATTTGCATGTTTTGGATGTTTTATTAAATGAATTTCCTGCTTCTTCTGAGCATACTTTGCATGAGAATGTACGAATACAGGAGCATGCTAATAATATAAATCTTTATAAACCTAATTTATGTTCTGCGGATGCTCTGAGCTTTGAGCAATTTCATTGCAAATCCTCGCCTCCCTATTTATTTGGCGTCTAAAATTTTAAATTATAAAAGCTTCACGGATACCTTAAAAAATAATATAGATAATATAGGTGATTTTACTTTGAAATATTTGGGCAATCAAATCAAAATTCAATTTTTTAAAACAGACGTCTTCATTAGATTAAAAAAAATTTGCAAAATCTATCTTATTTATTTACAAAAACTATTTACTCGTTGTCATTTGAGAAGATAATTGTAATTTAATAATCTTCCAATATTCAAATCAATTGAGGAATTTTCAAGATTCAATGTAACAGTTAATTCTGTGTAAATTAACGATGAAAATAGTTTTTATACCACAAGATCAATCTGAATGCTAGTTATATTCTTACTTATTTAAAGAAAATTCTAAGAAAAAAGAAAAAAAGAAAGAAAAAAGTCTAAGTTTTCTATAGAACTTGCTCGTGACCTCTCTTCTATAAAAACTTTCATACCGTGAAATATTCGCGAAATTTTCTTTAAATTTTTACAATTTTACATAATTTTTCAAGCTTTAACATTTATTTTAATCAATTGTTAAGGTCAATATTTATATCTCTACTAATACTAAGATTTTATGTGAATGTGTAGAAGCAATTAATATATCTTTTGCTTCTATTTCTCACATAAGTAAGGTAAGTAAGGTAAGTAAAGGTAAATGATCTTTCAAATTTTAATGGTCTAATCACTGAAATTTGTAAATTAAATAATATTATTGACATTACAAGTGCGTTGATGATTATTCACAATTATCTTGTCTTACTCCTTATACGCTTATTCTTATTATTTATTTACATACTTCTCTATCTTCTTTATCTATTTATTTATTTTATTTTTGCATTTTTGCAAGATCCTTCTACCTGCGCAAGTTAATTTTATACATCTGTTATATATTGATTTTGACAATCTGGTTTTTAATCGGAAGTCTCATAACTTTTATTATTTTTATTATTGCACTGCGTTTATATGTCTTATAATATATGTCTTAGATTAAAGCTGACATTTTTTTGAAAATTTTTTCTTTTTTTTGTTATCTCATTCTAGAATTACTAGAAACTAGTTTTCCAAGATGTTTTTTATAGTATCTTTTATTTTATTTTATTTTATGTAATATGCAGATTGAGAGCAAGTGGAGAGCATCCTTCCGGGGACCGTATTACTTCACGAGAAATGCAAGAGCATTTCTCATATAAAATGATAGTGCATTATAATTGGAAGGTATGAAACATCACAGCAATCTCGTGTGTACCGTGCCGCTTGGTTCAACAGGAAAGATTTAAAAAAATCGAGGGCTTCCTAACACCTCCACGCCTATCTCCGATGGACTTCGCTATCGTGAAATCACCTTTCGTTTCCTCTACAAGATATATATACTCGTCTAAGATCGCGTCCTTCGTGCAGAGTGTTGGAAAACATCTCCGCAACAGCATCGATCTCTCGACTCGTTCTACGATCGCCCGCGGCGACAGACATTGATTTTTACCGCGAAAGAATTTCGACTGAAGGTCCTCGTGATATCTCTTTCACAGAATCTTACTGTGAAAATTAAGAAAATCCCGACTGAATCTCCTGTCGTGATCATTTCTGCAGATCGCAAAAAGAGAACTCGATAAAGATACAAGGAATTACGTTACTTGCATAAAAATTTCGTTTTGTGAACATCCTGTTAAAAGAAGAAGTGAAGGACTAACAACGAGCGAGTGACCAGAAAACGTGATTGAATCACAGTACTCAACATGTCTGTTGCGGCTGTCCTTCTGGCAGGAGGATCCTGGGTGACTGTCTTTTTGTCCTTCTGTCTGCTGTTTCTTCTTCTAGTCCTGTTAGTGCAACGAGGAAAATTCCTATATGATTTGAGAAAGGTGCCTTATCCCACCGCATTGCCTATCGTAGGCAACGCTTATCAGCTCAACTGTTCACAAGAAGGTAAGCCTTTTCACGTATTGATCAAAACGTCAAAGTATTACGGTCATTGATGACAGGTTGATTTACACATTGTATATGTAATAATATATTATGATTCATCGAGATATGATTATCATTGCCAAAAAAATGAATATCATCAGACTGATCACCTTGCTTTATTGAAAATAGATGTAAATAATATTCGTCGATGTCATCATTACTTGCCATGTTGCATAAAAAAATATTGTTTTGGAGGAAATACATAATAACATGAACAACAACAGAAAGGATGTTATTCTTTACCTAAGGAATGAAATTATAATAGATAAAAAATTATAATAAAAGATAAAAATAATACAAATATACGTTTTTACATACGTTTTATGTACGATACGTATTTCATAGCATATCGTGAAGCATAAAAAAAGCGATAATATAAAAATTATTTGTGTAAAAGTAAGTCGAAGAAATGAATTTTTTTACATAAGTAAGAAAATAAAAAATTGAAAATTTGAAAAAAATCAGTTACATTGGAAACACATAATTATATAATACACAATATTCTTTTTCTCTAAATTGCTTAAACTATGCTACTTAACTATGATACTTATAATAATAACTATAATAACAAAAATTATAATATTACTATATGTGTAAGATATTTCTTATATGATATATAAATAACAAATAATTAATTAAAATAAATAATAATCTATCTTGTGATACATTTTTATTCTTGTATGTTTCTTATACAGATAAAATATCGACTATCAATCAAGAAAATCTTTCATTTGAAAAAGGCAAAACTAAAACAATAAAACTTTTCTATTTGATTAGTCGATTTTTGTTTTTACAAATCTACAAATATGAGATGTATGTGATATATATTAATAGATTAGATCAGTCTTCTATTCTATATGGTATCTAATACTTTTGAAAAGCAATGAATCATTGTGTTGAAATAAGATGTTTTGCACTTTTTAAATGTAAAACATTCTCTTTGTTATAAATCATTGTAAACGTATCTTGAAAAGTATTAAAGTCAAAAAGTTTAAGATAAGCAGATCTAGTTCCGATAAGTAATATCAACATATTTTGTTTTCAAGGAAAAGCTATTTAAAGGTATTAAAGGAAGTTGAGAATACGTTTCTGTATCATACTTTAATGATATCTTTAGGAATTTGCTTCTTGCAGCATAAATTTCCAGTTAAAATTAACCGAGTAAGCAAGTCTTATATAAGAAGTCATAGAAGCTGTAATAATCTTACCCTTTTTTGTGAGAAAATGCTGATGATGAAGCAAGAATAAACTTGATACATAATATGTAACGTATCTATTTAAATAAATATAAATCACTACATTATCTCTCCGTATCGCCTAAAAATAAAGTCAACTTTCACATTCAGACATTAAAGAGATTATTTTTGCAAGCTATGCATTAGCAGTTAAGTATAATTTCTCTTTCTCGATTAATTGTTAAACTCCATCGCATACTATATACCACCGACCGATTGCATTACAAAACAAAATTCCCAGATCCAAAAAGGAATTCTGTATTTCTGAAAAACAATTTTTTAATGATTAAAATTCGCGGACAGATTGGTGGGCAATCGATGAAGCGGGGCAAATTTTGAGAAATTTATGACGTTCTTTCTTTATTGCCAAATCCGTAAAACCTGTTCGAGAATTCAATTCGATATCCATGATACTTAAACAAAATTCACACGAGTACCTCTGCAACAGTGTGGAGTATACGAAAGATACTGAGGAGGACAAACACGTGCCTGCCGCTGCACCTATGCGATTTCGACGCTGTGATCAGATAAGACACCTGCTCGACTCGATTGAGATAATCTGGACGATTACTTTCGTCCTTCATGTGTACTCACAAATTTTGCTAGAATCATTATAGATCTTTTTTATTGCACGCCATTATTCAGCAGAAAAATGTTTTATTATTTTTATGTAATGAAAAAAATTAAAATGAACCTAATATCTCAATATTCAATAATTTTTATAAATTAGTCAGTTTTGAAAAAAAATTTTTCAAGATTTATATAATTATCAATAATCTTGTATAGAGACTGAGTAAAAAGCATTTAGTTTTAATTTAAATTGTCTCAGCATACAAATATCTTTAGCAAAAAAAGTAGTTGCATAAACAGTGAATTGTTAACTAGCAAAAAAAGTTTTTGCTAAGGAAAAAAAGATATACATTTTTTCTCTTACACAAAGCATTATTTAGCATTTTACAAAATACAGAAATTTTTTTAAATTTATATTTTTTAAGTGACTCTAAGATTGTTAGTAATAGATATGATGACAAAAATTTAAGTTAAAAATAGATTTTTTTATAACTAAAAAGATAAATTCATTGTAATAAATATTTTATATTATTTTGATATTATATTTTAATATAAAAGAAATAAATAGAACAAAAAATATTTTTTACGAGATCTGAGCAAAATAAAATTATTGATATTGATAAAACAGAAATAATTAACATTAACATATCTTGCTCGTACATGACATTTTCATAGTTAAGATCAAATTATAAAACGATGTATTATTATCAAAAATTTTTAATGAGCTTTGATTATTGAATCCTCATTAATTTATTTTTAAAAAATTAATAATTTTTTATCTTATTTTTTATTTCATCATCTTATTTCCTTTTCCCTCGATTCTCGATAATGTAACCGTATATGTATACTTCACGCAGAAGATTTTCACTGTATTTCCAACCTTATATAACATTTCAATTGTACGTACAGCGACGGTAATTTCTCAGAGATATATGTTCTCCAGACGTTCAAAGGTTAAAAACCCGGCGATTTTATTATACATATTTGTTCTGTTAAGACAATCAAATTGATCACTGCGATACAAGACGAATAATTTCGCATGACTTTCACGCAGCGACACGCGTGCGATGGTACGACAGAAGAAAGGAGAAAATGCAATTCGTGAGCTATCTCAGTCTACCAATGATAATCGCCGACCCGTTCGCACGCGCAAAGAAACAAGAAGAGAAGAAGAAAAAAAAGATGAAGAAGAGGAAGAAGCGGGTCGAGGTCGCTCGGGCGGTTT